ACTTACATTAATGTTATACTGTATATCATCATATCGTCCAGCCCCTAAAACTTGTATAGTTTTTTGTCAGTGTTTATTTAAAAACATCCAATTATGCAGAATATAGTCTGTTCTGTAGCTTTTTGCAGTCTGTAAAAATATACAGTACCTCAGATTTCTGGTCAAATCTAGTTGTACAGTCAATCGCAAAGCTCTTTCCCGTTTTAGATGTGTTTTGTGTGTTTTTCACGGCATTCACGCTGAAAACAAATGCTGCCGCTCAGTCTTTTTGCCACTTGTGGGCGTGACCGCATTCACTCCGGCCGACGGTGACGTCATGCGCATACCCTCTATAGAGCCAGGACATTTTTTAATATAACTGATTGTATTCGTCTGAAAGAAGAAAGTCATACACACCTAGGATGACTTCAGGGTGAGTAAATCATGGGCTTGTAGTGACTTTGACATACATAATTCACCTTTGTTCTTGGCATTGTTCCTCACTGTTGTTCAGGGATCGTGGTCCCTTTAAAATGTTCTGTATGCGTGATGACGTGAGACGCTAGTCAGCGCCATTTTGGAGTTGAGTGTTTTTGTTTTCAATAATAAACGACACACGCATTCGTGTGCTCAATGTGAGAAGTTGTCTCTTGCGATTTACTACAATTTCCACACTGGTGACCCCGACATTAGTCTGCTGGACGTGTCCAATGACCCAACACGACCATGGCCACGAACGCTGTCACCCTCAAACTCCCCGAATTCTGGGAATCGTCGGCATCGGCTTGGTTTGCCCAGACTGAAGCGCAGTTTGCGTTACGAGAGATCACCGCGGATACAACAAAGTATTACTACGTTGTGTCGGCTCTCGGTAATGCAACAGCATCGAGAGTGGTGAGCCTTCTTACAAACCCTCCGGAAACTGAGAAGTATGCAGCACTCAAAGCCCACCTGTTAAAAACGTTCGGACTGATGGACGCTGAGAGAGCCGGTAGGCTTTTCTCCCTTCAAGGATTGGGTGACAGCAAACCGTCCGAGCTCATGGATCATATGCTGGATCTTTTGGGTGAGCACAGACCCGATTTTCTTTTTATACAGCTTTTCCTGCGTCAGCTGCCTTCACAAGTGAGAGCTGCATTAGCCAACACCACAATCACTGACTGTCGGAGACTGGCCGAGGAGGCTGATACATTTTTCCTGGCGAGTCAGGGACATTGCGCGGCCGCGCTTTTTCCCGCGCACATCGCTTCGGTGACACGGGACGACTCCACCTTTATCGCGGCTACCACTTCTCGGCGGCAGCAGTCTTCTGGCCCCCAACAACCTTCAGGCTTGTGTTTTTACCATGCGAAGTTTGGAACTAAGGCTAACAAATGTCGCCTACCATGCAGTTTCGGCGGGTCGGGAAACGCAGGGGCCGGCGCTCAGTAGTGGCCATGAGTGTCGGCCGCGTAGGCAGGCTGCTTTTCATCCATGACAGCATCTCCGGACAGCGTTTTCTGTGCGACACAGGAGCACAGAGGAGCGTCCTGCCTGCATCCCGTTTGGACATGGTGACTGACAGCCACGGCCCCCCTATGGAAGCTGCCAATGGAAGCCCCATCCGCACTTATGGAAAAAGGTACGTCGAATTGTGTTTCGGAGGACAGCGCTTCGGCTGGAACTTTGTTACAGCAAAGGTGGCCGTTCCCCTCCTCGGTGCTGATTTTTTGTGTGCACATGGACTGTTGGTAGATGTAAAGAACCGCCGCCTGATTGACGCCGTCACGTTTTGCTCTTATACATGCACGCTCAGCGGGCCCAACTCCATACGACTGTCTAGCATGCTTTCAGTTTCTGATGATTTCCACCGTCTGCTTGCCAGGTTCCCAGCTCTCACTCAGCCCACTTTCTCTGCATCTGCCGTGAAGCATGGTGTGGAGCATCATCTCGCCACTACTGGTCTGCCCGTGTATGCCCGTGCTCGGCGCCTCGACCCGACCAAGCTTGCCGTTGCAAAGGCTGAGTTTGCGAACATGGAGCGCCTGGGAATAGTCCGCAGATCCGACAGCCCATGGGCATCGCCTCTTCATATCGTCCCCAAACCTGGTGGCGGTTGGCGTCCGTGTGGCGACTACCGGCGGCTTAATGAGGCAACGGCACCTGACCGATACCCAGTCCCGAACATACAGGATTTTTCAGCACACCTGTCTGGCAAAGTGATTTTTTCGAAGGTGGACCTTGTTAGAGGTTATCATCAGGTTCCGGTACATCCACTGGACATTCCCAAAACGGCAGTGATCACACCGTTTGGTTTGTTTGAGTTCCTGCGCATGCCGTTCGGCCTTAAAAACGCCGCCCAATCTTTTCAACGACTCATGGACTCTGTGTTGCGGGACCTGCCTTTCCTTTTTGTGTATTTGGATGACATCCTAGTAGCGAGCACGTCCAAGTCTCAGCACCTCGCGCACCTCCAAACCCTTTTTGAGCGGCTTAGCCAGCATGGACTGATTGTCAACCCCGCCAAATGCCAGTTCGGCTTGACCACCATCGACTTCCTAGGACACAGAGTCACTAAGGACGGGGCAGTCCCCCTCCCGTCAAAGGTGGAGGCGGTCGCACAGTTCCCGCGCCCTCTCACTGTCAAATCCCTGCAGGAGTTCCTCGGCATGGTAAATTTTTACCACCGTTTCATCCCTCGAGCCGCTCAGCTCATGCAGCCTTTGCATGAGGCCTTGAAGGGTAAACCCAAGCACGCTGTATCCTGGAATGAGAGTAGAGACAGGGCTTTTGCTGCCACTAAGACAGCCCTAGCTAACGCCGCCATGTTGGCACATCCTTCTCCAACAGCCCCCATCTCCATCTCCTCGGATGCCTCGGACTATGCTGTTGGTGCTGTATATGAGCAGTGGGTAGACGGGGCCTGGCAGCCGCTGGCTTTCTTTAGCCGTCAGCTGCGCCCCTGTGAGCGGAAGTACAGCACATTCGACCGGGAGTTGCTGGGTCTCTACCTCGCTATCCGACACTTTCGTTCCCTGCTGGAGGGCCGACATTTCACCGCTTTTGTGGACCACAAGCCATTGACTTTTGCCATGGCCAAGGTGGCTGAACCGTGGTCCGCCCGCCAGCAACGTCATCTGTCCTACATTTCTGAGTTCACCACGGACTTGCAGCACGTCGCCGGTAAGACCAACCGAGTGGCGGACTGTCTATCACGGGGTGTGGCTGGGGCAGTCCACCTGGGTTTGGATTACGACCGCATGGCAGCGACTCAGGCCACAGACCCAGATGTGCAACTCCTGAGGACTTCGGCTACAGGGTTGCAGCTCGAGGACGGTTTTTGGCGATGCCGGCACCAAGCTCCTGTGTGACATCTTCACAGGTAGTCCTCGGCCGGTCGTTCCCTCGGGATGGAGGCGACAAGTTTTTGATGCCGTTATCAAACCCACCCGGGTACGAAAGCGTCACAGAGACTGGTGGCAGGGAAGTTTGTTTGGCACGGCCTCAAGAAGGACGTTAGGGATTGGTCTAACACCTGTGTTGAATGCCAACGGGCCAAAGTCCATCGCCACACTAAAGCCCCGTTAGGGTCTTTCTCGGTTCCGGAAAGACGTTTTGACCATGTAAACGTGGACCTGGTTGGTCCTCTGCCCTCCTCTCACGGTTTCACATATTTGTTCACCATGGTTGACAGGACCACCCGCTGGCCCGAGGCTGTGCCTTTGACGTCAGTGACGTCTTCCGAAATGACACGGGCATTTATTGGCACCTGGGTTGCACGTTTCGGCACTCCTTCGGACATTTCCTCTGACCGAGGCGCACAGTTTACTTCTGAGCTGTGGGCCGCTGTCGCACAGAGCCTCGGAGTGAAACTCCACCGTACGACCGCATATCACCCGCAAGCTAATGGACCTATGAACGTTTTCATAGGTCAATGAAGGCTGCCCTGCGCGCTGGCCTCAAAGACAGCAACTGGGTCGACAAGCTCCCGTGGGTGATGCTGGGCATCAGGACCGCGCCACAGGAGGACCTTCAGTCCTCATCCGAAGAGTTGGTTTATGGACAGCCACTGCGGGTACCAGGGGATTTTGTCCCTAGCACCACGGTTCCCTGGTCTGCTACTTTTCAGCGGTCCACTCTACTGGACAATGCGAGGCTTTTCGCACCTGTCCCTTCTTCCCATCACGGCCTTCCTCAGTCACACATACCCGCTGGACTTCAGACGGCTGACTACGTTTTCATTTGCCACGATGCCCACAGGGGACCCCTACGTCCGCCCTACGAGGGCCCATTTCAGGTTCTGGAGAAGGGGGACAAACATTTTGTGGTGGACAGGGGCGGGAAACCGGAGCGACTCTCCATTGACCGTCTCAAACCGGCTCACTTGGACGTGGCCAGGCCCATTGACCTGGCCCAGGTCCCACGGCGCGGACGGCCTCCTGCTCTGCTCCCACCCCTTGCTCCCCTCCCTCCCAAGCCTCCCACACTCCATGTCCCACACCCGTGCCAGGGCGGGTTGCCGGCTGCAGTGCGGTCTCCTCCTCCTTCCGTGCAGCGCAGCCGTTGTGGCAGGTTGATACGCCCACCTCCCCGTTGACTGTTTGGTTCTCCTGATATGGTGAATTCTGGGGGGACGTGTGTAGTGACTTTGACATACATAATTCACCTTTGTTCTTGGCATTGTTCCTCACTGTTGTTCAGGGATCGTGGTCCCTTTAAAATGTTCTGTATGCGTGATGACGTGAGACGCTAGTCAGCGCCATTTTGGAGTTGAGTGTTTTTGTTTTCAATAATAAACGACACACGCATTCGTGTGCTCAATGTGAGAAGTTGTCTCTTGCGATTTACTACAATTTCCACAGGCTAATTTTAATTTTTGGGTGAACGATCCCTTTAAGAATGTTTAGATATTTCTACTGGAACTTCTAAGTAAGAAAATAATTAGTTTTGCAGTGTGGCAAACAGTTTAGGAAAGAAAACGCTGTAATCTGCTTTTAGTAACCTGAGACGTTCCTCTTCATGAGTGTGGGAGGAACACTTACATTTGAGCGCGTTGAACGCGAGCTGGAACGCTAACCGCTGAGACGCCTCGCCCCGGACCTCAGGCACGCTGACCTCTGACCTGTTCCCGAAGCTGACGAGCCTCTGAGCCGCCGGCCTCTCCAGGTGTGTGTTCTGGAAGATGGCCGCCGCGTGCAGGTAAACCTGGTCGTCCGGATCCGACGGGTCGGTGTGGAGCGGAGGGGGTTCTGGAGCAGCCGGATCCAGAGACACGCGACCCGAGGCTTGAGAGCCGCGTTTGGATGATCGCTGCGCAGAGGCTCCTTTCCTGACCATCCTGATCCAATCAACAATCAAAACACCTACAAATGCAAAGATCACACTCTGAACATGTCGTGTTTATTGTAAAGAAAGATGCACAAACACACTTCACCATTAAAACATTTGACAAAAACATGAAGAGAGACAGATACAGCCTCATGGAATTGTATTTTATTGATTTATTTAAAGCTATTTTAATCTAAAGTGTTCATTTATTATTAATGTATTGTATTTAAATACAATTTTATGGATTTATTTTAATCCATTTATTATCATTTCAATCATTTCGGTCTCAAATGTATTTGGAAACCCCTTAAAAATATGAAATTAATGTCATTTTTATTGTAAAGAAAGATGCACAAACACACTTTAGCAATAAAACATTTGACAAAAAGATGAAGAGAGACAGATCTAATGCAACATATTGTTCAGACATTTATAAGTGTCCAAATATGTAGTATTTTATTTACACTTCACAATACGGTTCCATTTGTAAACAACAACATTAGTTAAGATGAGCTAACAGTGAAAAATAATCCTCAAATATTTATTATCTCAGTTAGTGTTAATTTCAACATTTTATAATATTTTATTAACATAAAAAGTTGTTATTATTAAATGGACCTGTATGAACAGCTGTGTTTTATTAACTAACGTCAACAAAGATTAATAAATGCTGTAATGTGTTGATAGTTAACATTAACTAATGGCAATATCTCTAATGGAAAGTGTTGCAATGTAATTGTCATTGAAAATACATAAACAAAACATATAATATTTTTTATGTATTTATTTTAAAATAAAATTTTATTGATTTATTTGAATCTATTTCTTTTAATTTAAGTATTTTTTATTAATGTATTATATGTCAATTTAATTTAATTTATTTATTTAAACTAATGTATTTATTTATGTATATGTTATTAAAATACAATTTTATTAATTTATTTGATTTAAATCAAATATTATTTATTCATTTTAATCTAATGTATTAATGTATTTCTTTTATTTATTTAAATCAAATTTTATTCATTTGAATCAATTTATTTTAATCTAATGTACTAGTTTATTATTTATTTATTTATATAAAATACATAAACATAAACACATAAGCAAATTTCCTTCAGATGTGACAGAATATTATAACCATAGTGTTTTTAAAATAATTTCCCACAAACAAGTTTTAAAGCAGAGATATTAAAAACATAAACAACAGTGCTAATCAACTCACGAAACAAATCAAAACAAATCCATGCTCAATTTCTGTTAGAAAGACTAGCCTAACTATTCACTGATTAAATGATGATTATGATTTATTCACCGACTAACACTGAAATAATAACACGGTTATGATATAATATTATAGACCACTGGATGATGTTGTTTGAGTATTTCGGGATGTTCAAAATATGACCAAAAAAAAACACACTTACCCGAAACTCGGTGATTATGAAAACAATCTCTGAATCTCTGAAAGTCTCCTCGATCCGCGTGTGTTCAGAAGAATAAATCTGCGAATATCTGAGGAAACTTTACCAAACATAAACAGCCTGAAACTGGACGTTTATTGTCAGATGATGACGCAAGCAGGATTCCGTCTCCATGGCGACGGGAGGCGCAAAGGCGGGAACGATGAGGCGAGGCGAAACAAACGTAGGTTTTTTTTTTACTTGTAAAGTCCAAACTAGGGGCTAATAGTTTACTCATTGTGCCATTATGAGTCACTTTATATTTAATCGACCGTTTAATCCAATAAGCGATCACATTTAAACACTGAAAGTCGTGTGCGTGATCATTTTACCACCTGTTCAAGATTTAGATAAAACCCTCATAACTCGTTACACACGATATTTAACAGTAAATAACGTTCAGAATATGTTATCACACTATGAATAAATCGAAATGAAAGCACCAAGCCAGTGTAAGTAACTTTATAAAGCACGTACACTCTGTTGTAGAGGTTAATAACGGTTAATAAAGAGGTTCAGTGGTATTTGTGAGGATCTGGCGCCCTCTGCTGGACACGGCACGGAACTGCAACTGAGACAGATGCATAATAATAATAACTAGACAAAGTTCGTCGAGACAAACTTTAAGTTGGCTTGTGAAAGTTTGGACCGCAAAGTTTGAAGAAGTTTAAAGTAGTTTGAAGTTTAAATTAGTTTAAAGTTTAAATTAGTTTGAAGTAGTTTATAGTTTAACTTAGTTTAAAGTTTAAAGTAGTTTAAAGTAGTTTATAGTTTAAAGTAGTTTAAAGTTTAACTTAGTTTAAAGTTTAAAGTACTTTAAAGTTTAAATTAGTTTAAAGTTTAAATTAGTTTGAATTTTAAAGTAGTTTGAAGTTTAAATTAGTTTGAAAGTTAAAGTAGTTTAAAGTTTAAATAAGTTTGAATTTTAAAGTAGTTTAAAGGTTAAAGTATAGTTTCAAGTAATTAAATGTTGCTAGGGTGTTTCTAGTGGGTTGCTAAGGTGTTGTAGGTGGTTGCTAAGGTATTTTGAGTGGTTGCTAGGGTGTTCTGGGTGGTTGCTAGGTGGTTGCTAAGGTATTTTGGGTGGTTGCTAGGGTGTTAAGGATGGTTGCTAGGGGGTTGCTAAGGTATTTTGGTTGATTGCTAGGGTGTTATGGGTGGTTGCTAAGGGGTTGCTAAGGTATTTTGGGTGGTTGCTAGGGTGTTCTGGGTGGTTGCTAGGGTGTTCTAAGGTATTTTGGGGGATTGCTATGGTGTTGCTAGGGTGTTCTTATGTATTTTGGGTGGTTGCTAGGGTGTTCTGGGTGGTTGCTAGGGTGTTCTAAGGTATTTTGTGTGGTTGCTAGGTGGTTGCTAGGGTGTTCTAAGGTGTTTTGGGTGGTTGCTATGGTGTTCTGGGTGGTTGCTAGGGTGTTTTAAGGTATTTTGGGTGGTTGCTAGGGTGTTAAGGATGGTTGCTAGGGGGTTGCTACGGTATTTTGGTTGGTTGCTAGGGTGTTCTGGGTGGTTGCTAAGGGGTTGCTAAAATATTTTGGGTGGTTGCTAGGGTGTTGCTAGGGTGTTCTAAGGTATTTTGGGTGGTTGCTAGGATGTTCTAGGTGGTTGCTAGGGTGTTCTAGGGTATTTTAGGTGGTTGCTAGGGTGTTCTAAGGTATTTTAGGGAGTTGCTAGGGTGTTCTTTTGTATTTTGGGTGGTTGCTAGGGTGTTCTAAGGTATTTTGTGTGGTTGCTAGGGTGTTCTAAGGTGTTTTGGGTGGTTGCTAGGGTGTTCTGGGTGGTTGCTATGGTGTTGCTAGGGTATTTTAAGGTATTTTGTGTGGTTGCTAGGGTGTTCTAAGGTATTTTGGGTGGTTGCTAGGGTGTTCTGGGTGGTTGCTAGGGTGTTCTACGGTATTTTGGGTGGTTGCTAGGGTGTTGCTAGGGTGTTCTAAGGTATTTTGGGGAGTTGCAAGGGTGTTGCTAGGGTGTTCTAATGTATTTTGGGTGGTTGCTAGGGTGTTCTGGGTGGTTGCTATGGTGTTCTAAGGTATTTTGGGTGGTTGCTAGGGTGTTCTAAGGCATTTTGGGTGGTTGCTAGGGTGTTGCTAGGGTGTTCTAAGGTATTTTGGGTGGTTGCTATGGTGTTCTAAGGTATTTCGGTTGGTTTCTAGGGTGTTCTGGGTGGTTGTTATGCAGTTGCTAGGGTGTTCTGGGTGTTTGCTATGGTGAACTATTTATGAGTTTAAAAGTTCATAAGTGTATGAATTCATGAGAGTTCATAAGTGTATGAATTCTTGAGAGTTCATAAGTGTATGAATTAATGAATTTATAAGTTCATGAGTTTATAAGTGTATGAATTTATGAGTTTAGAGTTTATAAGTTTAAATGAGTAAGAGTTCAGAGTTTATTAATTTATGAGTTCATAAGTGTATGAATTCATGAGTTTATAAGTTTATAAGTTTAGAGTTTAAATTAGTTTGAAGTTTAAATTAGTTTGAAGTTTAAAGTGTAATTTAGTTTGAAGTTTCATTTAGTTTAAAGTAGATAGATAGATAGGTGGATAAGTGTCATATATATATGAGTTTATTAGTTTAATTGAGTCTCATTGGCTCATATAGTGTATAGAATGGCAGTTTGATTCAGTCTAGGGTTTCAAGGGATTTACATTTAAATTTTTGACAGTTGGGGAGTTTGAAAATCTGAAGATTCCGCAATGTTAAGTCAATGGGAGTTTTTTCCGAGTTTGATCGTAGTTTTTAGGAAAACCGTAAGTCCGATCAGTTAGAAAAGATATAGCACACTAAGTCAGAACAGTTTGAGTGTCCGTGCCGAGTTTGGAGTATGTGGAGTTAAAGCTCTAGGAGGAGTTAGAGTCAGAAATTTCAGAGTAAGAAAAAGAAGAATAATAATAATAAGTTTAAGTACAATATCAGTAAGTTGGCTCTCACAAGCCAACTTAATAATAATAACAAAACATCTGTACTCGGTTTTGATATCAATTCATATCTCTGCTGGCGTGACATTAATTTATTTTCGTTTATTTCACGCAGGGTGAAAGAGACCAGATTAGATTTACGATATGACGTTAGAAATAGAACAAAAATACAAGTATGATGGCAAATTATATTATAAATGTGTAAAATATTTATTTTCTATTAAAGTACATCACTACGTTTTTTTTCTTTAATTACCGTAGTACTGTACTGTTGGATATACGTATTTTCCTTAAATTTTATCAACATGTTTGTATTAATTTATTATTTAATGAAATGTCATTAACTTATTTTAGTATATTTTAATACGTTTAATTGTTACTTAGTTTAATCTTATTTTATTTGTTTATTTATTTTTACTTTTTTACACTACTTTTATTATTTTTATTTATTTAAACCAAGTTTTATTTATTTGTTTAGTTTTATCACATTTATTTTTTATTTATCTAAATCAGATGTTTTTATGTAGTTATTTATTTTTATTAAAAACTAATTTTATTGGTATATTTTAATATATTTATTGAAATCTAAAGTATCAGTTCATTATTAATTAATTAATCAAATTGTATTTATTTGAATCAATTTATTTGAATTTATTATTAATTTATTTTATTTTATTTAAATATTATTATTATTTTTTTAATCAATGATTTAATCAATTCATAAACTAATGTAATGTATTTATTTATTTTAATAAAATTGTATTTATCTATAAATGTTTTAGCTTTAATCAAATTTATTTATTTATTTATTTATTTTAATCTTATTTAAATACATTTAATAATGTAGTTACTTAGTTTAATCTTATTCTTATTCTTATCATTTACATTTTACACTACTTTTATTTATTTAAACCAATTTTTATTTAGTTAGTTACTTTTATCAAATGTATTTATCTAAATCAAATGTTTTATGTAGTTATTTCTTTTTATTAAAATCAATATTTTATTTTTATTTTAATCTAAATTATTAATTTAGTATTAATGTATTTATTTTAATCAATTTATTTTAATCTAATATATTATTTTATTATTTATTTAAATAAAGTTTTTTTTAAGCATACAGTTCAGTCTCTATTAAAGTTTCTCAGTGCGATGAAGGAAGAGCAGAACACTGGTGTCATATGTTATGGTTTATGATGTCCACTTCATATATCACAGCAAGTCCTGTGGTTTCAGTAAAATGATCATGTTTCTTTGAGCAATATGTTCAGACCTGCTTACAACAAATCACATTTTAAGCCAAACATTTTTATTTGTGCTTTTTGTTCGAAAAGTAAATTGTTCCCAGTACAGCCACTAAACACAGGACAGTCGCAGACTGATAATAATGTAGATTGTATATAAAGAAATCTGACTGATTCACATTTCCTTCAACAGAGGAACAAAAAACAGTGCATGAATTACACAAACCTGCATGAACTTGTGTGTGTATGTGAGTGTGCGTGTATGAGTGTGTGTGTGCAAGTGTGTGTGTGTGTGTGTTTGTGTGTGTGTGTGTGTGTGTGTGTGTGTGTGTCTGTGTGTTTGTGTGGGTGTGTGCGTGTGTGGGTGTGTGTGTGTGTGTGTGACTGTGAGTGTGCGTGTACGAGCGTGTGTGTGTGTGTGTGTGTAAGTGTGTGTGAGACTCCTGTAATGTAGACGGTTACAGCCTTCTAATGAACAACAGATCTCTTTTCAGAAAGACTGGCATAACTGATGTGCTCATCGAGAGGCAAGATGGTCTACATTATTAATACTCAGATTAACTTACACACACACACACACACACACTTGTACGTCTATCTTTGTGAAGAGATTCATTGACACAATTAACATCACCGCTAACTGCTTAACCTGAACCCTAAACCTGCCGTCATCTCCTTATAACCTGATCACTGAGATCAGCTCTTCTTTAACGGCTCTAACTGTCCGATAGTCTAAAACTGGTGTGACACAAAGTTCACACTCACGCACACGCACACACACACACACACACACACACACACTCGAAAACACACACTCACTCACACAAACTTGCACACATACACACACACTCGAAAACACACACTCACACAAACTTGCACACACACACTCGCACACACTCTCACACACACACTCACACACACACACACTCGAAAACACACACTCACACACACACACGCTGGCACACACTCGCACGCACACACACACACACACTCGCACACACTCGCACACACACACACTCGAAAACACACACTCACACACACTCGCAAACAACACACACTCGCAAACACACACACTCGCACGCACGCACGCACGCACACACACACTCGCACACACACACACACACTCACAAACACACACACACGCTCACATCCACTCGCACACACTTGAAAACACACACGCACACTCGCACACACACACACTCGCAAACAAACATACACTCACTCACACACTCACACTCACTCACACACACACACTCACTCACACAAACACTCACTCACACAAACACTCGCACATACACACACACTCGCAAACACACACACGCTCACATCCACTCGCACACACTCGCACACACACACACTCGCAAACACACACACTCGCAAACAAACATACACTCACACACTAGCACACACACACTCGCACACACACACTCACTCACACACTCACACACACACACTCACTCACACAAACACTCGCACACACACACGCTCACATCCACTCGCACACACTTGCAAACACACACACTCGCTCACACACACACACACACTCACGTAACACACCCGCTCTGCGATACTAGTAGTTTCGGGGGTCTACCACTAGGGGAAACACTGAGCTGGATGCGAGTCGAACTGAATATGCCATCGCTCCTCCCAGCGGTTGACTGTTAGCAGTCTCAAGGTGCGTTGCCGATAATGAGGATGCTCATGAGGAAGACCATGATGAAGAATATCCACATGAAGAAGCGGTCCATCACCTTGGCGATCTTCTTCCACTCGGCCACTTTCAGGCACGTGGCCTTCTGCTCGCGGAAGCAGTTCGCGATGTACTCAACATTCCAAACCAGCTTCGGGTCGCACCCGAGAATTCCGCCGTTGCCACGGTAACTGCAGTAAACACAGGGGTTAAAGGTCAGATGGAATGCGGCCGGTTTCTCGTCGTCGGGGCAACAGGGAGGCGGAGCTCCTTTCGGTTTCTCTTTGAGGTTCCTGTTGTGTTTGCGAACGAAGGGCTCGGATTCTTCCGACTTTCCGAACGGTGACGCGCAGCTCTCGCCGACCTCGTAGACGAAGAAGATCTTGGACATGTAGTCGATGATGAGAACTTTGGCCCAGTACGGCACCGGTTTGGCCTCCGCTCCACAGAAGTGAATGTTCATGATGAAGATGGTCAGAGAAGTGGACGCTGTGATCATGGTCATCGTCGCTACGTAGTACTTACCTAGCGAAGGAAGACAGAGCTCAAAGTCAATCTCTTTCTTGCTATCTTTTAATTAGCATGTTGCTAACATGATTAGCACATTGCTAGCATGTTTTAACATTTTGCTAACATGTTGCTAGCCTGATTTAACCTAGAACGTAGCCTTTAACTTAGTACTTACCTAGCGGAGAAAGACAGAGTTGTGCGTCAATCCCTTTCTTGCTGTCTTTTGAAATATTCACTGTCTATCTGATCTCAGCACGTTCACACTAGGATACAGACGTTAATTTGCTGTGTTCAGAACAGCATACTATCGGAAGTCAAAATTAAGCAAAACGTTTTTCGCCAGTTGGCTGTTTTTTTTTTTTTTTTCATAATGTGCCTGAAAGTTTGAAATAACTTTTAAAAGCTTGAAGTTTGAATTTAATTGTTGACACACACAAATATATATAGAGCATGTTTTAAAATCTCTTTATAATAACATATATATTTATTGCTCTAGCGTGTTTTAACATGTTGCTAGCATAATTTAGCACATTGTCAGCAAGTTTTAACCTATGGTTTTAACGTGTTGCTAACATGATTTAGCACAATGTTGGAATGTCACTAACATGATTAGCATGTTGTTAACGATTTAACATTGCTAACATGTTGCTAGTATGATTTAACACAGTCCTAGCATTAATTAGCATGTTGCTAGCATAATTATCACAGTGCTAGAATTAGTCTAACATGATTTAACACATTGCTTGCAGGAATTAGTATGTAGCTTACATGTTTTAAAATGTTGTTAGCATGTTGCTAACATGATTAGCACGTTGATAGCATGATTTAGCACATTGCTAGCATGTTTTAACATTCCGCTACCATGTTGCTACCTTGAATTGGCACACTGTTAACATGTTTAACATGTTGCTATTATGATATAGCATGTTGCTAACATGATTAGCACGCTGATTGCCTGATTTAGCACATTGCTAGGATGTTTTAACATTCTGCTACCATGTTGCTAACATGATGTAACATGTTGCTAACATGATGTAACATGTTGCTAGCTTGATTTAACATGTTGCTACCTTGAATTGTCACTTTGCTAACATGTTTAACAATGTTGCTATTATGATTTAGCACATTGCTAGGATGAATTTACATTTTGCTAGCATGATTTAACATGTTGCTAACATAATTTAGCATGTCACTAACATAATTTAGCATGTTGCTAACATGTTTCTAACATGATTTAACATTCTTAACACGTTTAACATGTTGCTAGTATGATTTATCACATTGATAGCATGTTACTAGCATGTTTAACATGTCACAAGCATTATTTTGGTTTTAGAAGAAGCAACTTAAATAGGATTTCAGTAAGTTGTTTCTGTCAATGAATGACCATATGTCCCTAAAACACTAAAACAGCAGTAGATCCGAGACTCACCGATCAGAGGAACGCTCTCGGAGGGAGGCATGCTCTCCGCCACCATCATCTGAAACACGGTGAGCGCTAGCAGAACCGTCACGCCCAGCGAAACCTTCTCTCCCGAGTCGGCGGGCAGGTAGAAGCCCAGAGGAGCCAGGAACGAGATGAGGAAGCAGGGCAGCAGCAGGTTAAAGATGTAGAACGAGCTCCGCCTCTGCAGCAGAACCGTGTAGGTGATGTCGGGATACGGGTCCGAGCAGCAGCCGTACATGATCACGTTCTTCGTGGCCGGCATCCCGTGACATTCCCACTCCACGTTCTCCACGAAGTCCGAGAGGTCGCCGCTGTCCATCCCCATAGCGATGTCCACCTGGAGGAGACCGATTCGAGACCACGACTTTATAACGCATGTCACACTATATACATCAACGGTGCAGTGTGTGGTTTTTAGCGGCATCTAGTGGTGAGTTTGCGAATTGCACCCAACAGAAGTTACGGTGGCGGACAGGAAGTGATATCGTATAGTAGCAACGAGGTTTCTTTACAAAGATAAATTAAGAAATTAGGTTTACTTAATTATTCAGTAAAACGATGTTATTGCGAATATTATAGTCACTTGTTCTTCATTGTGTCAGTGTCTTATTCGCTGACTTTAGCAGATTCTTATCATGAAGAACAACATAGTGAGGAAACACGTTTGTCCGTTCAGGGCCACCGTAGAAACATGTGGATGTAAGCGGACCCGCGGTGTGTGTGTAGAGAGAAACGCCTCATTATAAGCTAATAAACACATCACGGTTCATTTTGTAAGGTCTTTATACACCACTGAAAACATAGTTATGTTTATGATATTGCATTTCTGTCAACAGATCCTCCTAAATATTACACACTGCACCTTTAAGTGAAGAGTATATGTTATGCAGTTATTTATTTTAGTAGGAAAATACCATATACATAAAAGAAGTGGGCTCTTTGCTAACCAAAACTTTCCCATTTTATTAAATAACTTTAACTAAAAACAAAAAATCTCAAGAAAACGTGCTGATTTAAAAGCACTTTTCTCTCTCTCTCTTCCCTTTCTCTTTCTGGCCGCTGTGTTTGGTGTTTGTACCTGGTTCCCGTTGTAGGTCCACGAGCCGAAGGTCAGGTTGCACTGCTGGCTGTCGAAGGGGAAGTAGGAGACGTCCACCACACAGGAGCTCTTCGTGATGGCCGGGGCGTCCCAAGTGATCTCGCCGTTGTACCGCAGCACCACATTAGTGTCCACCGGCCCGGAGAAGTCATCATCCGCCCTGCCAGCGCACACGTGTGTGTTTGGAAGAGCAAAACACACAGAGAGAGAATTCAAGTTAAAGAGGACCTATTATGCCATAATGTTTTAATGTTTTCAATGTTCAAAAACACAGTATTTTTCATCTTTTTTGCGGCTCCTCTCTTCCCAGTCTGTCAGTAACGCTCTGTTTACTTCCTGTCTCTATGAAGCCCCTCCTTCTGAAAAGCACACTGTGCTCTGATTGGTCGGCTGGATCAGTGTGTTGTGATTGGTCGAGCGCTTCGAGTGTGTTTGGGAAAGTCCCGCCCCTTTCCATAACCGCCAGTTTAACACACTACTAACTAACTCAACCAGGCCCCGCCCCTTTATTCTGCGCATGAATTATTATAATGAGGAATATTGTGACGTGTTCGTTCCCGGGAGAAACTCAAGACTACAATGGAGGCGTTTCAGGAGTTCAGAAACACTGACACTGATATAGAGAAGAACTGGAGCGTTTTCATGATCAAACTGCAACATCACACACTGAAGATGAAGATGAAGATGGAAAGCATGGTGTTCTTTAAAAATAAACGTTCTTTATTGGCATCGATGGTTCCATGAAGAACATCCATGGAATCTTTCCATTTCTTTATAGTGGAAAAGGTTGTTTATGTTCTTTGCTCTAATACTGCAGCTGTATAGAGATCTCCACAGGAAAGCTAACGTGTGCATGAACGTACGGGCGTACTTGTTATACAGCACCAGGTCTGGTCTCCACACGAGGCTGCTGGGAATGCGAATCACCTCCAGACCGTCGTACTCATCTTTATTCCACTTCAGGTAGGCGTCGTGCCACGTCTGTCTGATCCACAGGTACGCGATCAACACCTGGTTCCTCTCGTCCTGCACAGAGCTCATTCCCCATCATCTATTATTCCCATTACTAGTCTCCTATTATCACTGTAAAGCTGCTTTGAAATTATCTATATTGTTAAAAAGTGTATTAAAGGTGACAGCTGTTGTTGAGTTTGCGATGTACAGGGTGATTCTCCTAAAATCGTAAAGAATTAAACTACTGCTTTATGTTTGTGTTAAAACACTTATCACATGATCTTAAAATAAAGATCTGATTTGATCTTGATCGACCATCTGTTTATTATAATGTGTGATGAAGTAATGCAGCAGAATAAAATCATTTAAATGCACATTGTCCGGTCTCTACTCGTGTCGCACACACTGCTGAATGTCTAGCTTTAGCAAAGTCCGTCTCTGGCATTAGCTATATGATGTTACTAAAGGTCAGCTGAGCAGAGACTCTCACACTGCTGTTAATATTAGATGCCAACTAGAGACAGACAGAAAGAGAGAGTGGCTGAGAGAGAGAGAGACGATGGCTATATCACATGTGCACTCTTAAAACTGAAGGATCTTTATTGACATCGAACTTTTAACATGTATAGAACCTTTTCATTGCACAAAGGGGTTCTTTGGAGTGAAAAAGGTTAGATTTTATTCTTAAAATTTAAGAAAATGGTTATTTTAAGTACTGCTCACTGAAAGGTTCTTTGGGGAAACAAAAATGTTTCATCACTGCGAAAACTCACTTTTGGAACTTTCATTTTTTACGAGTGTATGATGTCATATGATTGACAGATGAAAACTCACTTTTGGAACTTTTCTTTTTAGTGCATGATGTCACATGATTGACAGCTGTGAAAACTCACTTTTGGAACCTTAATTTTTGCGAGTGTATGATGTCATACGATTAACAGTTGCGAAAACTCACTTTTGGAATCGTTATTTTTTCGAATGTATGATGTCATATGATTGACAGCTGCGAAAACTCACTATTGGAACTTTAATTTTTTCGATTGTATGTTGACATATGATTGACAGCTACAAAAACTCACTATTGGAACTTTAATTTTTTACTGATGTCACATGATTGACAGCTGCGAAAACTCACTTTTGGAATCGATATTTTTTCGAGTGTATGTCATACGATTAACAGTTGCGAAAACTCACTTTTGGAATCGATATTTTTTCGATTGTATGTTGTCATATGATTGACAGCTGTGAAAACTCACTTTTGGAACCGTTATTTTTTTGAGTGTATGATGTCACATGATTGACAGCTGTGAAAACTCACTTTTGCAATCGTTATTTTTTCGATTGTATGATGTCATACGATTGACAGCTGCGAAAACTCACTTTTGGAACCGTTATTTTTTCGATTGTATGATGTCACATGATTGACAGCGGTGAAAACTCACTTTTGGAATCGTTATTTTTTCGATTGTATGATGTCACATGATTGACAGCTGTGAAAACTCACTTTTGGAACCGTTATTTTTTCGATTGTATGTTGTCATATGATTGACAGCTGTGAAAACTCACTTTTGGAACCTTAATTTTTACGAGTGTATGATGTCATACGATTGACAGCTGCGAAAACTCACTTTTGGAATCGTTATTTTTTCGAGTGTATGATGTCATATGATTGACAGCTGCGAAAACTCACTTTTGGAATCGTTATTTTTTCGATTGTATGATGTCACATGATTGACAGCTGTGAAAACTCACTTTTGGAATCGTTATTTTTTCGAGTGTATGATGTCACATGATTGACAGCTGTGAAAACTCACTTTTGGAACCGTTATTTTTTCGATTGTATGTTGTCATATGATTGACAGCTGCGAAAACTCACTTTTGAAATCGTTATTTTTTCGAGTGTATGATGTCATACGATTGACAGCTGCGAAAACTCACTTTTGGAATCGTTATTTTTTCAAGTGTATGATGTCATACGATTAACAGCTGCGAAAACTCACTTTTGGAATCGTTATTTTTTCGAGTGTATGATGTCACATGATTGACAGCTGCGAAAACTCACTTTTGGAATCGATATTTTTTCGATTGTATGTTGTCATATGATTGACAGCTGTGAAAACTCACTTTTGGAACTTAAATTTTTTACTGATGTCATTTGATTGACAGCTGCGCGAAAACTATGGAACTTTTCCGGAGTGTATGATGTCGCATGATTGAAAACTCACTTTTGGAACCTGAGTGTATGATGTCATGGCTAGTTGTTTCCCCAAATGAAGCAGTAAACTAATGAGGAGAGACTGACCATGTCTTTGATCTGAGACAGCGTGACCTGCAGCGTGACGTTCAGGGTTTTGTCAGTGTCGTCCACCGGTCGTAGAGCAGTGGAATAATTCTCCATCAGATCGTTCAACAGTTTGTGTGCGTATCGACCCTGAGCACAATGAGCTGCTGAACACACACACACACACACATTTAAAAAACATCCTAGTAAAACACTTCAGAAAAAAAGCTCCATGAACAATGTATAAATAATGTTTTTGACCTGATAACTTTGAACGAATGCTATATTAACGTTACTGGAAGAACGTTATAAAGTTCTGAGACCGTTCCATGAAGCTGATTAAAGTGTTGTGTCAAAGAGCCAACAAATACTCATAATATATATTGGGTTTTAAAACAGTTTTAACACATGAATGTGTTCTTGTTAGAGTAATGGGCTGGTTGTAACAACGTTTGGGATCAATTTGAGATTTCTAAACCAATTTATATGGCTGATAAATTTGAATATATTGAAAGTTTAAGACACAACACAAAACAACTAACAAAATGTGTCAAATTTCCCCAGTCTTTCTGTGTAACAATATTAAAAAGAAAAAAAGAAGAAGAAAAAAGCAATATTAAAACATTTAGATATAAAAAAAAATGTTTAAATAACAATTTAGGTAAAAGACAAGTTTTAAAATAAACTAAGTTTATGCTTAAAACATGAACAAACTCAAAAATAAACTAAATTCAAAGGGAAAAATATTTTATTTTACCACTGACACATTAAAAAAAAAATTCAATAATTGTATCAGAAAACAAAACTTAATATCAAACAAAGTCATTTTGCTTTTCAAGTAAATCTTGATTTTAGAATGTTAACATTTGTACTGGAAAACAAAACATTTATCAGAACATTTAACAAAACATTTATCACGCTGTCAGTATGTTATACTGTATGTTAAAATACTTGCAACTAACCTGATTAAAAGTCTTAACCAGTAACCCAGGGGAAAACGTTTTTAGTGAACATTTATTTTTTATTATTATTATTTGTTTCAGAGCGTTCAGAGAAAATACAAAAGTAACGTTAATGTTTGCAAAATTCTGAAATGGAATGTTGCCTAAACGTTCGAATAACGTTAAAAATCATTTCGAATGATCAGAGAACGTTCAAAAATGACGGTTTCACACCTTAATGGCAACTTTAACGAAACGTTCTTAGAACTGTTTTTGTTGTCTTTGAAGAACATAGGCTATTGCTTAACACCAAACCAGCCTGAATGAATATGAATGTATAATCTGGTTAGCGTGTCTCGCCTTCGACGAGCAACAACGCAGAGAACTCCTGACACTTCTTTAAAAAGCAGACACTTCATTTTTATAAATTTTTCAGGAAACAAAACTTAAAATCTTAAGTCATTTTGCTTTTCAAGCAAATCTTGATTTTATAATGTTAAAATTTGTAGTGGAAAACAAAACATTTATCAGTATTATACTGTACTGTATGTTAAATACAAACTAGAAACTATATTAAACGGTAACCAGTAACCCAGAATGTTTTTGTTGTTGAACATTTAATTTTTTTGTTTGTTTGTTTTTTTTCAGAACGTTCAGAGAAAATTCAAAAGTAACGTTCCCATAATGTTGGCGAAATTCTGAAATGGAATGTTCGTTCGAATAACGTTAAAAATAATTTCGAATGATCAGAGAACATTAAAAAATGACGTGTTCACAGTTCACACCTTAATGGGCACGTCAAAAGCGTTCTTAGAACTATTTTTGTTGTCTTTGAAGAACATATTGCTTAATTAACCTCCACTAGGCCTACCAAACCAGCCTGAAATGAATATGAATGTGTAATCTGGTTAGAATATGCGTGTCTCACCTTCGACGAGCAACAGCGCAGAGAAGAACAGCATCTCCATACAGATCCTCTCCATCCCCGCGAGCAGAGATCACCCGGGAGGTCCTACAGGAGCATCAGCGCTGGATCTGTTCTCTTCTCCCCGTTCCGCGCTCGATCCGCCGTCACTGGAGCTCCGGTGTCGCGTTGCCGTTGCGCTCCGGTAACCAGACGCGCCGCTATTCAGCTGTCAATCATGCGCGCAACAGGTGGGCTCGCGACAGGTAACGGAGATGATGTGGGGATTGAGACGGGAATAACACCTTTATCATCATTACCGTGTCCTAAAATAACACGGGAGCGAAATGCAATCTATAGGTCATCCGTCTAGTGCGCCTTTGGTTTAGTTATAGATGTTAAAGGGATACTACACTTTAAAATGAAAATTAGCCCATGATTTACTCACCCTCAAGTCATCCTACAAAGCGGATGCACTTTTATGATGGCCAGATGCACTTTTATGATGGACAGATGCACTTTTATGATGGACAGATGCACTTTTATGATGGACAGATGCACTTTTATGATGGACAGATGCACTTTTATGATGGATAGATGCACTTTAATGATGGACAGATGCACTTTTATGATGGACAGATGCACTTTTATGATGGATGCACTTTTATGATGGATAGATGCACTTTAATGATGGACAGATGCACTTTTATGATGGACAGATGCACTTTTATGATGGATAGATGCACTTTTATGATGGACAGATGCACTTTTATGATGGATAGATGCACTTTTATGATGGACAGATGCACTTTTATGATGGATAGATGCACTTTTATGATGGATAGATGCACTTTAATGATGGACAGATGCACTTTTATGATGGACAGATGCACTTTTATGATGGCCAGATGCACTTTTATGATGGACAGATGCACTTTTATGATGGACAGATGCACTTTAATGATGGATAGATGCACTTTTATGATGGATAGATGCACTTTTATGATGGATAGATGCACTTTTATGATGGATAGATGCACTTTTATGATGGACAGATGCACTTTTATGATGGATAGATGCACTTTTATGATGGACAGATGCACTTTTATGATGGATAGATGCACTTTTATGATGGATAGATGCACTTTAATGATGGACAGATGCACTTTTATGATGGACAGATGCACTTTTATGATGGATAGATACACTTTTATGATGGACAGATGCACTTTTATGATGGACAGATGCACTTTTATGATGGCCAGATGCACTTTTATGATGGACAGATGCACTTTTATGATGGACAGATGCACTTTAATGATGGATAGATGCACTTTTATGATGGATAGATGCACTTTTATGATGGATAGATGCACTTTTATGATGGATAGATGCACTTTTATGATGGATAGATGCACTTTTATGATGGACAGATGCACTTTTATGATGGATAGATGCACTTTTATGATGGACAGATGCACTTTTATGATGGCCAGATGCACTTTTATGATGGACAGATGCACTTTTATGATGGACAGATGCACTTTAATGATGGATAGATGCACTTTTATGATGGATAGATGCACTTTTATGATGGCCAGATGCACTTTTATGATGGACAGATAGACTTTTATGATGGACAGATGCACTTTTATGATGGATAGATGCACTTTTATGATGGACAGATGCACTTTTATGACGGCCAGATGCACTTTTATGATGGATAGATGCACTTTAATGATGGACAGATGCACTTTTATGACGGCCAGATGCACTTTTATGATGGATAGATGCACTTTTATGATGGATAGATGCACTTTTATGATGGACAGATGCACTTTTATGATGGACAGATGCACTTTTATGACGGCCAGATGCACTTTTATGATGGATAGATGCACTTTTATGATGGATAGATGCACTTTTATGATGGACAGATAGACTTTTATGATGGACAGATGCACTTTTATGATGGCCAGATGCACTTTTATGATGGACAGATGCACTTTTATGATGGACAGATGCACTTTTATGATGGATAGATGCACTTTTATGATGGACAGATAGACTTTTATGATGGACAGATGCACTTTTATGATGGCCAGATGCACTTTTATGATGGACAGATGCACTTTTATGATGGACAGATGCACTTTTATGATGGACAGATGCACTTTTATGATGGATAGATGCACTTTTATGATGGATAGATGCACTTTAATGATGGACAGATGCACTTTTATGATGGATAGATGCACTTTAATGATGGACAGATGCACTTTTATGATGGATAGATGCACTTTTATGATGGATAGATGCACTTTAATGATGGACAGATGCACTTTTATGATGGATAGATGCACTTTAATGATGGACAGATACACTTTTATGATGGATAGATGCACTTTTATGATGGATAGATGCACTTTAATGATGGACAGATGCACTTTTATGATGGATAGATGCACTTTAATGATGGATAGATGCACTTTTATGATGGACAGATGCACTTTTATGATGGACAGATGCACTTTTATGATGGATAGATGCACTTTTATGATGGACAGATGCACTTTTATGATGGATAGATGCACTTTTATGATGGATAGATGCACTTTTATGATGGACAGATGCACTTTTATGATGGATAGATGCACTTTTATGATGGACAGATGCACTTTTATGATGGATAGATGCACTTTTATGATGGACAGATGCACTTTTATGATGGATAGATGCACTTTTATGATGGATAGATGCACTTTTATGATGGACAGATGCACTTTTATGATGGATAGATGCACTTTAATGATGGATAGATGCACTTTTATCATGGATAGATGCACTTTTATGATGGATAGATGCACTTTAATGATGGATAGATGCACTTTTATCATGGACAGATGCACTTTTATGATGAACATATGCACTTTAATGATGGATAGATGAACTTTTATGATGGACAGATGCACTTTAATGATGGATAGATGCACTTTTATGATGGATAGATGCACTTTTATGATGGATAGATGCACTTTAATGATGGATAGATGCACTTTTATGATGGACAGATGCACTTTTATGATGGATAGATGCACTTTTATGATGGACAGATGCACTTTTATGATGGATAGATGCACTTTTATGATGGATAGATGCACTTTTATGATGGACAGATGCACTTTTATGATGGATAGATGCACTTTAATGATGGATAGATGCACTTTTATCATGGATAGATGCACTTTAATGATGGATAGATGCACTTTAATGATGGATAGATGCACTTTAATGATGGATAGATGCACTTTTATCATGGACAGATGCACTTTTATGATGGATAGATGCACTTTCATGATGGATAGATGCACTTTTATGATGAATAGATGCACTTTTATGATGAATAGATGCACTTTTATGATGAATAGATGCACTTTTATGATGAATAGATGCACTTTCATCATGGATGGATGCGCTTTGATGGACTTAAAAATATACCCATTCACTGCCATTATAAAGCTTGGAAGAGTTAGGAAATTTTATAATATAACTCAGATTGTCTTCGTCTGAAAGAAGAATGTCATACACACCTAGGATGAGTTCAGGGTGAGTAAATTTAGATTTTGTGGTGAACTATCCCTTTAAAAGAGCGGGGAGATCTGTGGCTCGGAAAGGGGATGGAGTTTATCCGTGCCTTCAGAAGAAAGATATGCATCTAGCCATCAGAAACCCGACAAAACGGACGGATCCCGAGAATCCTGATCAGTTTGGACCGGACCTCAGTGTAATGCTGTGGTACTTTCATACAAACACATGTATTGAATGATTACAATTTGCAAGTCACTGTAAATTGCTTAAATTATTACTATGGAACCGTCTGAAAATATAATATCCAAAAATAGTCCAAAAAAAAAACCATGGTACTAATGTAAACACTGATATATATATATATATATATATATATATATATATTGTAAACATGGTACTAATGTAAACCATGGTACTAATGTGAACACTGATATATATATATATATTGTAATGTAAACATGGTACTAATGTAAACACTGATATATATATATATATATATATATATATATATATATATATATATATATATCACATTATCACTATTACTCACAGACAACAAACGTAATACTTAAGACATTAGACATTGCTGAATGAATTTTTTAAATCCAATTGTTATGTATAATATATTGTTATATATTAGATTTCTGAAGGATCATGTGACACTGAAGACTAGAGTAATGATGCTGAAAATTTTAAAATATATAAAAATATAAAAAAGTTATTTTAAATCGTCATAATATTTCACAATATTACTGTTTTTTTGGTGTATTTTTAATAAAATAAATGTAGCCTTGGGGAGCAGAAGAGACTTCTTTTAAAAACATTAAAAATCTAACAGATGCAAAACTTTTGAACGGCAGTCTCTCTCTCTCTCTCTCTTTCTATATATATATATATATATATATATATATATATGCCAAGCTCTGTCTCCATGATCATATATTCTGTATGAATGTGTTTGAGCTCTCAGAACCTGCAGTCAATGCAAAATACAGATCATCCAAACGTTACATGCTCAGCCATGAAACTAGTGTTTATTTCACTATTCCACAAAGCAATAATAAATAAAGGCATTGCCACATTGCTTTAATTTATACAGACTTTAATAGCTTTATTTACAGATGAACTCTTGTCTTTCATATATTTGCGCGTGCGTGTGTGTGTGTGTTTTCCAGTCTTGAATGTTTGAGATTAACATCTATGAGTGAAAGGAACCATTTCACGTCGTTCTGTTTGACAATGTAGTTTTAAAAATGTTTTCCAGATAAAAGAGCCAATGATTGTGCGGGAGGGAGAAAGACTGCAGTGCTGATTGTGTGTGTGTGTGTGTGTGTGTGTGAGGGGGCGGGGCTACAGTCGGGCTGGAGTCAGATTGCTGCACCGTTCTGAGGGAAATGATGATGATGATGATGAAGATTATAAGAGAGAAAGAAAAAAGGCACATCCAAACCAAAATAAGTAAACAAAAGAAAGAGATAGAAAAGTTCACAGTCAGTTCACCCAAAAATGAAAGTAAGCGTATCTTTTACTCGCGCTCATGTTGTTCAAAAACCTGCATTTTAACTGCAAAAATCTTTCTTTGTACAGAGAAAGAGCAGCGTGAACATTCAGCTAAACGTCTCCTGCTGAAGAAATACGAGTTTAGAACAACATAAACGTGACGTTTTCAGTTTGGGATGAACTATTTTGAGGAAAGAAATGGAAAAGATGGAGAGAGAACAGCAGGGAGGAGAGAACGAGTGTGATTGTGTGAGATCAGGTGCTTCGGCTCCTCGTGTGGGACTCAGTTGCTGAGCAATAGTTCTGTCGCTGTCTCCACGTCCCAGGACTTCGACGACAGCGCCACTATTACTGCGTTCTGCACAGAGGAAAACATGGCGGGAGGAAACACTTTCAGCACAATTACTACACCTATTACTGTCTGCTCAACCAAACGGTGGAGCACATTTTGAGTCACTATATTGTATTGAGAGGAGTATTTAAAGGGATAGTTCACTTTTGAAATTAATTTTTGGTATGTTTTAGCTTACCTCAAGGGCATCCAAGATGTAGGTGTCTTTGTTTCCGCAGAAGTTTCAATTTTGATATTTTTAGGTCAAACCGTTCTTGTCTGTCAGTCATATAATGCAGGTCTATGGTCACCACCTCAAAGAGCAGCACAGAGAAGTCCAAATTAAACATGATTTAATGACTCATAAATGTAAGTACACATTGATGGCCTAAGACACGAAACGAGCGGTTTGTGTGAGAAAACCAACAGTATTTATATCGTTTTTACCTCTTGTAGGCCATGAAACGGGACCCCAAATTTGGGCTACCGGTACCATTTTGAGGGATTACATTTCTTTTTGATTTTCATGAAGGTACACATCTCTAGTGTTGGAAAATGTGTGATAGCATCCGATCCATGGTAGCTTTCATTAGAAATCAACACTTATATCATCCTACCTCAAGGTAAGGTGTTCAGTGACTACAAGAGAGAAAAATTTATCCTTTTATAATTTTGAAAAATGTATTTAAAAAAATTAAAAAAAAAATTTAATATAAAAATTTATATAAATTTATACAATTATTATAACATTTTAAATTTATTTAAAGAAAAATTCGTTTATCCTTTTTCTTGACATATGTTTGAAAATCGTCCTCCGTAACCAAAAACTACCTTGAATCTAATGCTATCACACATTTTTCAAATACAGGGTCATATACCTACACAAAAATCACCATGCGGTTTAATCCCTCAAAATGGTACCAATCAACCCTCTGTCTCACGGCCTATTGTAACCACAGCCACGTCCAAGTGATCTGAGGGCGCGGGCGCTTCGGTCTGCGCAAGCGCCGGAAGTGATCTCTCTGAAAAAATTCAACGTTGTCTGTTGATATATCGAAATCGTCTTCCATTGCGATTCCCTGTATATCTAAATATGTTTAGATCTTCACAGTGAAAGGTAACACTTCCGAAATCTCTGTGTAAACAATGAGTGACGTACACGCGCGAGAGATCACTTCCAGACCGAAGCGCCCGCGCCCTCAGATCTCTTGGACGTGGCTGTGTTTACAAGAAGTAAAAACGACATAAATACTGTTGGTTTTCTCACACAAACCGCTCGTTTCGTGTCTCAGGCCATCAATGTGTACTTACATTTACGAGTCATTAAATCATGTTTAATTTGGACTTCTCTGTGCTGCTCTTTGAGGTGGTGACCATAGACCTGCATTATATGACTGACAGACAAGAACGGTTTGACCTAAAAATATCAAAATTGAAACTACTGCGGAAACAAAGACACCTACATCTTGGATGCCCTTGAGGTAAGCTAAAACATACCAAAAATTAATTTCAAAGTGAGCTATCTCTTTAACTCAAACTGATTGAGCCATCTCTACCGTCTGGTTAAGGTATGTTATGCCAAAAAAAATCCACTAGATGTCACAGTGTCGATCAACAGCACTTGTCACAACACTTCTTCTAACATGGATGTCAGAAACAAATAAATCACCCCAGCCATGTGAACTGTTTTTGGTGAAATGTTGCAAGCTAAGCATTTTTTTTTTTTACATATTACACTGTAAGAGCCCTAACTTTACAAAATTATATAAAGTATGTTTTTAATAATTTTTCAAAAACATGCTCAACCAAACGGTTGATTTGGCACATAACGATTAAGAATGGACATTACAATGCACTATTAAAACTTGGTTGTAATTCAAGAATGCTTTAGAATAAAGACCTAAGTTTAGTCTTGTTTTAAAGAAAACATTCAGCAGATTATTGCTGAAGTAAAAGCACTTCAAAAAATAAAAGTATGAAAAAGTTATGGAAGTAACTTGTTATCCTGTTATATCCTGTACTTAATATTTTTCTTTTATATAAAATCTATATTTTACAAAATATTTTTTACTATAAAATCAAAGCCATATATCTAACCAAGTTGTGTTCCAAATTTGAAGTTGATATCACAAAAATTGAAGTTCCCATGAGATTTTGTTTAGGCGTAACACCAAAAATGACATAAATTCCATTGAATTTAATTGTATGCATTTTGCTGTAACAAATTAATACATTTCTGTCCAAATATCACTTCTGTTACAAAATATGGAAGCTTGAGACTCAGACCTTTCTGACAACGTGTTTTGTCAAGACTAGAAAAGGTTTTGATCATAAATTATGATGGGCAATGAAAAAGTATGGCAAAGTATGTGTATGAATTCCGGTGCCATTTTTTACCATTAAGTGACATCTCAACCATTTGGTAGAGGCCGATATTAAAAAAATTATGGGATGTGTTGAAAAAAATGCATTGAGTGTGGTTACTAGCGACATAAGGAGATAAGAAATGCAAACAAAAACATTTTTCATCACTTTTTTCTTGGTGCGGACTTCAAAGGGTTAAAAAGTATGCAAAATCCCATTAGTGGCGTCTAAAGCACAGCATGTGCACTTGTTAGGGCACTATGAATTCCACAAGGCGGGAAAACGTGGACGGAATCGCGGAATCCAGTCATAAAAACGGGATTTACTGTATATCTATATGAGGATGTGAACGCATGAACTTCATCTCCAGAGCCACTCTGAGCATTCACCGTTTCATTTCAGAAACTCTCTTCACTGAAACCCCTCAAAATAAAAGTTTGGTTTAACTTGAAGAAATTCTGACAGACATATTTTACAGATGTAAACTTTGTTTGACAAAAAAGTTAGTTTTATTTGATATGATTAAAAGTAATATTGATTTAATCATATGGTTAAAATGAATGTTTTATGCCTTCATTTGATTACCAGAAAAATAACTTCATAGAAATTAAAAAAATAAATGTTTTATTTATTTTATAAATTGTTGTTTTTATTAATTCAATTAAAATATACATGATTTTTGATTATTAAAACTTAATTAAACCATTAAAATGGAATTCAGAAACCTTAACAAAAAATATTTTTTTTAAAAATCAAATGGAATTTGAGAAAAAATTTATAAAACCTATTTCATAGAGCCCTAAACATGTAGTTTTTGTTAAACTTTTAATAAATTGTTGTTAAATTGATTAAGCTGCATGATTTCAATTAATTAGACATGCTTTCTAAATACTCATATTTTATTTAACCAATAAAAAGAAGTCAAAAATAAAATAAAATGGAATTTGGGGAAAAATAAACAGGCTTTCATAGGGCCCTCATTTTTGAACATGCTTTCTGAACAAGTATTTTGCACAAAGTCCTACAGAAGAAGCTCAGCTGACAGGGGCCGTTCTGAACAAACCTTCTTCCAGTTCATTCAGTGTTATCTGGTTTTTAATTATTAATTGCAAAAACATTATTTATACATCTTTCATGGAAAGTTTTTTTTTTCTTTCTTTTTGTTGGACATTTTAGTTGGACGTTCGTCTGACGTTTTTTAAATGTTACTACTTGTTTCAGAACATTCAAAAGTAACGTTCGCATAATGTTTGAAGAATGATAAAATGTTCGTATAACCAAGAAAAAACATTTTGAACATTCAAAAATAACATTTAGTTTTTATACCTGTGGTTTTTGTAAGTGTGTGTTTCTCTACTCACTTTCTCGAAGCCCATAGCGCAGAGTTTGTCTATTTTGCGTGTGTAGTCTGGGCTGGAGACGGGCGCTCCCGCGTAAACATGTGACCAGAGTCGAGCCGTCTGTTTGAACATCTCTGGGTTCTGTTTATACTGTGAGACAGGAAATAAACACAGTGAAGACAGGAAGTGACCACATCAGCCTGACACCCAAACGAAATCAACCTCCTTTAGTCTATCAGAAGTGTGTAGAGTTATTAGTATCTCATTTTCTAGCGGATAACTTTCTGAATTGCACGTATCAGTCATAAACAATAGTAAAACTACGATGGTACAAAACTGTTCAAAAGTTTGAGAAACATTATGCTTGATGATCTGCATTTATTTGTAAAAACAGTGAAATATTATTACAATGTAAATCAGCTGTTTTCTATGTGAATATATAGTAAAGTGTAATTTATTCCTGTGATCAAAGCTGAATTTTCAGCATCATTACTCCAGTCTTCAGTGTCACATGATCCTTCAGAAATCACTCTAATATGAGGATCTGATGCTCAAGAAACAGTTATGATTATTATGATGAATAGAAAGTCAAAAAAGCAGCATTTATTTGTAACAGTAATCTTTTGTAACATTATAAATGTCTTTACTGTCACTTTTAATCAATTTATTGCGTCCTTGCGGAATATTAATAAAAATTAAAATAATAAAAAAAGATTGTCTTTCGAAGTTTAATAATCACATTAGGACGCATCACGATTCCTGTCTTTCTGTCGCCAAATTTAATACATCTTAACGATAATTAAGAGTATAATACCATTCAAGATATTAAGAACTTTTCATGGCCTTAAATTCGATCAAACAAAATTCTTTTTTCTTTTTTTAAATGATTTATCCGTGCACATCATTATTGTTTTATTAATCTTGAATGAGAATAAGTTCCTCTCGCAGCATCTCTTCTCTTCTCTGATGATGTGGGCGGGGCTATAACCTGTCACTCACATGAGATCAGCCAATAGCAAACCACAACCAGCCAATCAAATCCCCACAGGCAAAATCAAGCCCCGCCCACATTTGTTCTTGTTCCAGAAGCGTTTCACTCGGATATACAGAACAATAGAGGAGAAAAGACTAGCGTAACACACATGGGGACTCTGAGCGCTACAGACACTCTTAGAACCACTACAGATTTTGCTATAATATTTGTACGGCCACTTTTTGTTGCTCGTTCCCGACACAAGCTCACATATACCGCTGAAACTCGAAAAATTAGAATATTGTGCTAAAGTTATGATTTTGATGCTTATGGCTTACAGCTTATGAGAACCCTAAATTCAAAATATCAGAAAATTAGAATATTACATGAAATCAATAAAAAAAAAAGGATTTTAAATACAGAAATGTCGGCCCTCTGAAAAGTATAATCATGCATATGTATATAGTTATATATACTAAATATATTAGTTTCCCCTTTTAAGTTGAATTACTGAAATACATGAACTTTTGCACCATATTCTAATTTTTCAAGTTTCACTTGTACATTTAATATTTGTTATTATTTCAACTTTGTGGTGTTATTTGTCAATTAGTGTTTGTGTTTTGTTGTTTGTAGATGTATTGTTAATTGTATTTTGTTGTGTTTTTGATATGTAGTGACTGTTATGTGGTGGGACCCCCTCGAAAACAAGATGATTCATCTCAAGGGGTTAATCCTAATAAATACATAATTTTCTATATTACCTGATTGGCGACTACAGCGTCCTGTGGATCATCTGGTTCAGCAGCGGCCAGAAGAGCCTGTAGTGACAGTAACACTGTTCGGAGGGTCATGGCCGCCGCCCTGAAACACACACACACACACACACACACACACACACACACGAGAGAGTTCATCAGTTTCAGTGTTCACTGTGTCTTCACAGCGCTATTCAGAATGATCTTACCACTGGTCCTTTAGGATGTCCAAGCAAATGGCTCCTGTTACTGAGCTGATGTTGGGATGCCAGATCTTCGTTATAAACCGAACCTGAAAAACATCAGCGGACAAGTGGAATTAATACCTGAAGAAGTGAGACACATTAGTCAATAGCAGAGCAGGCACCTCACAATGTGATTCAGTTTCAATTCAGGGAATCACAATGCAAACAAAATGCATCTAAAGCGCTAATATTTGGCGAATAAATGCAGCTTGTTGCAATATAAATCTGCACTACAATCTACAACACACTTTAAAGTATAAAGTTCGTGTGCACAGCCAACAGAAGTAGAAGAATACGCAGGTAAATAAGCTTCTTTTAGATGCGGCTTCGCAGTTTTCATGCTGTAAATGAGATTATGTATCAGAACTGCCTCAAACGTTGTTGTTGTCAATCGGCATGCTTCTTGTTTTCTGTGGTTGTGCTTGAGAGCAATCATCTCTCGTTACTCACCTTAGGTGGATTAAATGGATACGTCTCTGGAATTTTAATTTCTAGTTGAAATCTGCCACCTACAAAACAGGAAAAGACAGAAAATCACATAAAACTAGAGTCAAAATCAAAACAATTTATGAAATCAACATCATATTAGTGTAAATATCTACTCCAGTAAGCATGCATACGTGTCACCAAGACATCTGATAAAAACATCATCTGAAACGTTTAGAAACATCAACATTTAAACAAGTGCATGCATTTAGAAAATTATTTGTCGTTCCAATGTCAGAAAGGAAACGTTTTAGAAATGAGACACTAATGTACACGAAAAAATGGCACACTGTCATTCAATTTAGGAATTTGAAAATATCCTTCATTTGATTTTATCTGTATTTAAAACCAGTTTAAGTCGACATAGACAAGACTGTACAATATCAAACGCTGATAGCAGAAGTGCTATGCTGGTTGAAAAGGAGAAATAAGATTATTTATTTCCACAACAATATATATTTTTCATTAAAATAATGCAAAATACAGTTTGACAGCTGTTTGTGTGGCAGGCGTGGCATCAAATAGTGCAGATATCTTGAGGTGTATGTGGTTGATCAGGTAAGACAGAAACGCAATAGATCAAAATAATTAATTTGCTCTCGCCTTCATAAGGTGTGTCTGGCGGTCCTGCGATTTCCCCTCTCAGCTCTGTGAAATTCTCATCCACTAAATCAACCTTGATCTGGTTTTTACTTGTCTGTGAAAATAAAAAGAAATGTCAGGAAAGTTAGTCAACAAAAAAATAAAAATCCATTCCACAAAATTGTTCACTTTCGTCCCCAAAATGAGAGCAGAAAAAGCCTTGGAAAGTATGGATTAGGTTTGCAACTTTGGGACGGTTGCTATTCGTTTTCTTGATGCCTTAAAAAATGAACACAGGCTTCAAAATTTAAAGTCGAATCTTGGAATTTAAATGGCAAAATACAATTAACCCCAAACTTTGCAACTAAATCCAAAATTCCAACTTAATAATGCTCAACTCGCCAAAATTCAAAAGGACCAACTCTTAGCAAAAACATCCTAGAAACTTCTGACAAGGCTCTCTCAAAGTTATGAACAAAGTTATGGCAAAACATATTTTTGTTAACTGGGATACTGTAGTCAAGTCTTGGTACAGTGATGATATCAGAAGGTAAATGCAACTAAAAATCATAAAAACATGATTGTTTTTGTACCCTGGTAATTGTATTTTTGGCACTTCATTTGTGACTGACAGTTGTAACAATTCACTATAATTAGTAATACCCAACTAAACCTGTAATTTAAGTTAGATACTTAATGAAGGATCAGAGATTTAGTTCATTTGTGCTGAAGTTTTAATTCGTTTACACTCGTTTTAAAAGTTTCACACAACACTCAATACACACATTAGTTCATTATAACATATTATTTAAAGAATAAACATTAATCACGAGTCACAAATGGAGGTTTTAATGAAAATTTGCGTCCGTAACACAATTACAATCATCAATTTTATCATTGTTGTGATTCTGTCGAAGCTATCAAATCCTATCATTAACTATCATAAAAGTTTGCCATACAATAAAAACATGTCAGCCCACATAAATTAACCCAAATATTAATTGTTATGCGCCTAAAAATGTTGTTTTAACGTCAAATGTAAGCGTAAATGTGTGTGTTTATGTAGCACTAGCTGGCCTTCGGTTAGCATGCGGCTAGTCACACACAGGCCTTTATAAAAAACACTATAAACACACACGAATACACATCAAACCGCTGCATAAACACAATAAATACAGCAGAATCGATTAAATAAGCACATTTGAATGCCAGAGATATGTGTTTTGGCTTGTTTCGGAGGGTTGGACTCGTTTAAATGCGGTTCGGCCTGGACGGGACAAACATCCCATAATATTCCCCCAAATCGCGTATCTGACACCCAAAACACACATTAAACTGCATCATCTCAATGAACGAGACAAATCACAGCTTTAGCGGATTCGGTCCAGATCAGAGTGAGTCACAATTGATCCGTCCATCATTTCACATGATTAAATGCACATGTGTCAGTCATAAGGCATGATTGACAGCTGTCAAGCGAAATGCACACATGTGTGTAAGTGCTAAACGAACCTCTTCGCTTTTCAGAACCTCTTTAAACTCCCGTTTGATCCGCTGAACCGCGATGTTGGCCATGCTGTTCATACACCACCACCACCAACAACACACACACACACACACACACACACACACACACACACACACACACACACCCCTCTCCCTCTCTCTCTCTCTCTCTCTCTCTCTCTCTCTCTCTTTTGCAGCTGTGTACAATAAAGATGTAATACCATAGTATTTTTGATGTGCCTTGGTACATGAATATGGTAATCATTCCATGGTATCAATCAAGTATTGACTCCTGATACCAGTAACAACCACCACAGTAACTTTTGCAAAACCTTCAGGTTTTTGTCCTGTATAATTTATTCAGAGTGAGTGTGAGCGAATGTTGTGTCTGTACATCACGTTTTAGTTTAAAGGTGCTTTATTGGCATGACAAATGTTTTTACATTCATATTTCCAAAGCATTTGCAGCCTTTCTGCATGCAGTTGAAACTGGAAAATGAAAGTAGTGCAAAACAACACAAACAACATAAAAACTGTAATTGACAAATAAATATAAAACAGAATTACAAAATAAAATTAATTTATAAGTAAAAGTATATAAAAGTAATAATAATAATACGATAATATAATAATAAAAAAATATAAAATAGCATTTATAAATTCCCTGGTGAAAAAAAAAGAAGCTAAGTATACTTGCAGCCAGACTAATTCAATATACTTCAAGTGTGTTAATGATTAGTTAACTTGAAGTGTGCTATTTTGGAACAACTAATAGTATATTTTAGTTGTAATTAAATTGTAATAAAGCACAACTTTAAGTGTATTCAGTGTACTTTTGTGTGCTAAATTGGAACAACTATAGGCCTATACTTTAAGTACATGCCTGGGTCGGAACTAATTACATGCATGATTAGTGATATTAAAGTGTACTTTATTTGTGTTACAGGCACATTACAAATTCATTACGAGTGTCTTCAAAACATACAAGCAATATACCATAAGTGTATTATATTTGAGTAAAAAGTATATGCAATACATTTGGCTTATTCCAAATACTACAAATTGCACACGTTGTCTTCAATAGCAAATGCACATTAATAAACAAATATTACTTAGCTAAACTTTGTAGAATATACTATTGTATACTATAATGTATTTTGAAAGTATATTTTCAATGCGCAATGATCATTTTCAGCATTTTTTAAAGTAAAGTGCAAATAAATACACTTTTAAATATAAACTTTCAAGTATATTTTTCTGAAATATATATTTTTTAGAAAATATAGCCTACTAAAGTAATTATTTAAAAAATGTGTTAAAAGTTGTATTGTTAAAATAGGTAAAAGCATGATGCTAATATACTTTTAACATAAAGATAGTAAAACAATTTGTATATTTGAAATGGGATTATATTTCAAACACATTAAAGTATACTTTTTTCCCACCAGGGTTGTATTGGGTCTAGTTTTTCAAAAAGTAGAATCTGGATCAGAATGATCTGGATTTGGAAATCCTTTAGTGCCAGTTTTTCCAAGCAATGATTGGATCACCCTGATATGATCCAGATCCACACTTTTCCAGATCACATCCAGATTAGCAGTGCTCCAAATGGGGTCAGATTACACAATGATGCTAAAAAAGAAAAAATGAATTTCAATGTTTTAGCATTCTCTCGCACGGGTTTTGTGTTTCCCCACTCGTTCTCATTGTGAATGAGCACAAAGTTTCTTGGGGAAACGCAAAACTTGTGCGAGAGAATGCTAAAACATTGAAATTCATTTTTCCTCCCGTCACCACCATGTCCCTTCAGAGCTTCCGTAGCCCCTCGTGATGTGACCTACAACAAAAACAAACAAATACGTTCAATAAGGGATGCAATTGTTAGAAACTACTTTTGACTGGTTCATTTCTGATGATTGTGTCAATATAGTTTATATACAGATGGTCTTCGGGGTCTATTGGACCCCAAATGACTTTTGCTCAAATTAAAAAAAATGTTCTCTTAGTCCAAATGGTTTGAAACTTTCTACGGCTCTCAACACTTTCTAGATCTACAAAAAAAAAAAAAAAAAATTTTTTTTTAATGATATCTGTTTTTATGTTGGCGTGACAAAAATAGTCACCCTCGTGGTCTTCGGGGTCTATTGGACCCCGCAATCAAAATAGACAAAATAACATCATCAAAATCAGAAACAACGTAGTACACATAGACAGAAATATGACAGAAATAAAGTGGCACACTTCCAACAATGCAAAAAACATCCACAATCCAAAATGATCATGCTCACCACAGGCGCACACACACACACAAACACACACATAAAGAGGAATACATTTATACAGGAATACATACAGACTATAAAAACTGTTCTCGTATCATTTGTAAAATAAAATAATCTAAAATGCAGAACAACCAGAAAAATAAATTGGTAACACTTAGACGCATTGAAAATGTGCGCACACACACATACACACATTAACACACACACACACACACACACACACACACACACACACACATTTGTAAGGCTATAAAAAGTCTTATAATTTGTCAAATAAAATCATACAAAATGAAGAACCACCACAAAAATAAATTGGTGACACTGTACACATAAAAATAGAAATAAAATGTAAACACACACACGACAATGACAACAACAACAGTGAAGTGCCAAACCTGCTCCAACCCTGTCTGCAGAAGTCATGCGGTTTACCATGCATAGTGTTTTTTCAGTACAAAAAATGCAAAATTTTGACAAAAATTATATTATTTTTGTTATAATTGTGATTTTATAATATTTAGATATGAATCCAACTGAATCCAACTTTAGAAACTATATCTTTCAGTAATTCAAATAGCAAATAGCATGGAGCTCTATCCATCTAGTGGTTAAAGTGATTTATTACAAATTTTAACCTGTATTTTCCAAAAAATGGGCAAAAATCTTACATTAAACCTTGTAAACTTATCCATGGTATCCCCAGGAATGAAAGTTAGAAATCTGGGTCTTTTATAAAGTTTATTTAACATAAAATGCTTTTTTTTTGGTAAAAATCCTATTTAATTAAATATTTATTTATTTATTTATAGATTTTTTTTTAAAAAATCATAAATTCTCCAAAAACTGCACAAATGTTGAGTAAAAACATTAATAAACAGAGTAAAATTATATTTGTTAAAAAAAAATATATGTTGTTCGGTTACAAAATTAAATGTTGTTGTCTGGGGTCCAATAGACCCCGAAGACCACGAGTGTGACTTTTTGTTGAAGACCATCAGAGGGTTAAAAAACATTTTTAATGTTTTCAAAACTATTTTTATTCGATATCGACGGCTGTTTGGGGGATTATTTTATAGTGCCAAAATCTCTCTCTCTCTCTCTCTCTCTCTCTCTCTCTCTCTCTCTCTCTCTCTCTCTCTCTCTCTCTCTCTCTCTCTCTCTCTCTCTCTCTCTCTCTCTCTCTCTCTCTCTCTCTCTCTCTCTTTTGTGCAAAAAAAAAACCTACAGAATTTGCATCATGTAATAAATACACACACTGAAGTTGTTTACTGTATCAATTACAATGTTGCAAATAAATCCTATAGTATTTTGCAAGCAAGGCATTGGAGGGGCATTAGATGAAGAATTTCAAAACATCTGTTAAGAAAAGCTGGTTGTCAGAGTCATTTTTCTAGCGAAGCCTATCTCTCTTTATCTCGACCATCTCTCAGAGTCATTATTCTAGCGAAGCCTATCTCGACCATCACTGACCCGAGTCATGGGTCAGTTTCACAGAAGGAGAAATTAGTTCGTTTATCTTTTTTTGCAACCTGTACAATCCCCAGAATAACACGTAGACCGCAGAGATAGAATTTAATGGTGGCAATTGAGAAGAACACAAATGACAAAAGCAAATGCACTAATTTATTTTAGAATATTTAATTTGATTTGAATTGAATTTTTGACCCCAAAATCACCTTAATCTGAAAACAGAAAATGTGCATCATTCCATTTACTGTCAGTAGATTTTGCAACTGTTATACAAATAAAATATAAACTTTGCAAAATACTTGATTTCTGTATACTTAAGTATTATTTTGGGGGATCTGTAGGCTACTTTATTCAAGGACAATTTAAACTGACTTATTGTACTTTTACTTGATTAGGCCTACATTTCTGAAGAAAAAAACTGTACTTACTCCTCACAATTTTATTGTAAAGTAGGCTACTTTTTTGCATTTTATTTTCTATTTACGCGTTAATGATGGTAAACGGAAGCTCGAACATGCGCACACGAACCACTAATCTTCGTGTTTGCGCATCAAGCAAAAGCGTTTCATTATCAGTTATAACTTTCATCAGGGACATTTCTGGCTTCAAAACTTCACCATCAAATCTGAGGAAGCATATTTAGGCAGCAAAGTTGCTTTTTTCCCCCAAAAAACGTTTTGTCCGTTTCCATTATAAGTAAATTATCTGTTTATTACCTGTAAATTGGCTGATCAAATAAAATCAGTGAAGAATTTAAATACAATTAATATTTTGGTGGCCATGATTGCTTTCTTACAGTTTTTCTCAATTGTTTACACACAAATACTGGTACTTGAGACCCAATGACCACAACATGTAACTCTCTGAACCAATTCTGCTAAAAGCACAATTCCTGCTTTACACTCAAATTGCAGTTCTAAAACACACTTTTTTCAAAACACTACACACAATTCTCTGCTTTTGGCACAATTTCCATGCAGAAAATCTCTTGTTTTCACAAGGAACACACTGCCATTCAGATATGCACACTGACTCCTCACATGGGCAAACACCCGTCACACAGTTTTACAATTAGCAATCAGAGCTTTAGCATAAAAGACCAAAACAGAAGAGAGGATGCAGCATAGTTTTTTTTACTGTAACTGTATACAGTAAATTTTTCTGTTGTTTTATGTAGACCACTGTATGTGCAACTTTGTGTTGGTTGGGATATACACTGTACATTGTTTTTGTGGGGAAAATAAAATATATTTGTTACCGTGTATTTGTGTGTTCTGAATATAAAAACAATATTCTCAAATATTTTGTAGTAAGTGTAACACTGAACAAAACAAAGGCCTAAGTCATGATGAATGGAGAAGAAGTGTTTTCCATTCATCATAGTGTTT